GTTTAGGGTTTAGTGTTTAGAGTTATGGTGTAGATTTAGGGCGTTCTAATCTTTGGGCTGACAGATGTCTGAGGGCACGGCGACAGTGAGGACAGGCCACTTTCACCGGATTCTGGTCGAAGATTGGGTCGTCACCCTCCTCTAGGGAGTGATGTCGCCGAGGGAAGTTAAAGCAACATAGTCTCCGAGAGCAACCTAATTCATTTGGCAGGTGCCCAAAATAGGGGGACCCCAATATAGACCCCAACAGAACTGCTAGGTCAGGCGGCGCAATGCGCACAACTTGGCCAAACACCTTCATGAAGAGAAAGATCGTGACCACTTCCTAAACCCTGAACCCTACACCCTAAACCCTGAAATATGCCCCTACACGGATGGCTTAACTTTACTCTCCGGACCTGGGCGACTGGAACAGGGCCAGGAACATGTCTACGTGATCACGAGAGCACGCTTTGTTCGGTGCAAACTGCAAACCAAGTAGGAATCTTGCTTTCAAATTTCATAGGGTTATCCTGAAGCCATCATGACGACGAGGGAGATCATGAAAAGCTGATCGGGTCTAGACTCGTGCTATATAAACAAGCTCCCACACCGCCATGAGAAGATCGATCCGTAACTTAAGATCACTCTTTGTATGCTGTAATTTTGGCAGCCTCTCTCACAGGGGACCTCCAAATATTTGCAGGAAGTTGCAACAAAAAAAAGTGCTCTCAATCTTTTTCGGTAGATCAAGCTACATGCTACTGGTAGCTTCCAAAGATGAGCACGTGCTAAATGCAGACTCGAAAAAACCTTGGCGCAAAGACATGAGGCATAAAGTCCTCAGGAGGCGCCGCAGCATTGTCGTCCTGACGTGTAATTTGCGAGTGGGTTTAGGACTTGGGGTTGTGTTGTTTAGGGTTGTAGACTTTGACGCTGAACCTCAACCCTGCACTTTGAGTGCCCGGAACAGAAATGACAAGGCAGATGCACGTGATTCACAATCACCGCGGGAGAAGACAGGGGTTTGCCAAACCAGATTCAAAGGAATTGGGCTTCAAGAGATCGTCTTCTGCAGCAGGTAGCACAATCAGGGGAGGGCTTGTGTCACCAAGACAAGAATGCACGCTATTTTGTTGCCATGGGCAATACTGCTTTGGCGAAAGTGATGATAGTTGCGTGCCCAAGCAGTACTCGCACTGTGAAGACTTCTGTTTTTTCATCGCTACCGTCATAAGTAAACATATTAATTCTAATTCTGTTTGTAAAAATAGCCCAGTCATAGCCATGAGCCCTGCTGAAGAGTATCAGACGTGGGCAGGTCCTTCTTCTCTTTGGGCACCAGGTACGACATGGCCGCGCAGGACGCAAAGCTGCGCAAGTGCTGGAGATTGTGCCAGCACTCAAGACCGCAAGCGTAAGAATAAAGATAATATGGTAGTGAGGAGCAGGCGTGTATGCCATGGGAAGGTATCAATCGCAGTGAACGACCATGCCCAAGTTGGACTTTTCTGGGCAAGGTCGGTCTGACAGGCTGATTTTACAAACCATGCCTCTTCAACTAAACTCCGTGGGCTGCTTCGACAATGTTTCCTCGAGTGGAACATCCTCTGTGCAGCGTCTGCAATCAATCCAAAACTGCGAACTGATCGAACCGAGCAGGTCATGGAAGGCAGGCGTTTTACATCGCAACAATCCGAACAATTGTCAAGCCTAATCCCACCTGTCGTGCGAAAAACCTATCGCCACCCCTGAGAAACCTGCAAGCAGCAAACGTGATGTGGAACAGGGAGGAGCGCACCCTCACAGAAAAAATATGTACCTGCCACCTCTACAAATTGCTGCTCAGACTACAGCCAACATGGATTGCTTTGCCAATTGTTCTGCCATGTGTCGTTTCAAGATTGTATCGATCTAGCCCTGGGACCTTTCATCCCAAAAGGAGTCCATCCTGTGTTGGCTACACGCCGACCATGAGCGATGTGTGGACCCCTTAACCACGCGACAACTGCACAATGCTGAGCCTTACCAATTTCCTCCAAACAAGGCTGGAGACCGTTGGAGTGCTAAATTTTCCTGCGAACTTGCACATAGGGCAAGCTTCACCAACTTCTAAACACGGACCGCACCCCCAAAATCAACTGAAGCTGGACCACTACACGGTGCAAAACAACGGGCAATGGAAAGCCTGAATTTGCGCAAGAGTAGGCGCAATTGCAAAATGAAGCAGAGAGTCAACAGCGACCCACTTCAACTGCGGCTGCAGGAAAATAGAGTCCCTCATTTCAGGACGCTTGTCAAAGATTACATTGCCAAGTTGAAATGGCTCTCTAAGCTTCGTGGCATCCCCATAATCTCGAATTGGAAGGGTGGTAGAAAGAGAGCCTGCAGGGGAAGTCAAGAAATCTTGAGCAAAGGTATGACACGTAAAGCCATGTTGGGATCCTAGCTGGCATCAAGGGATTGCAACTCATGTGTCATTTGGAGGCTTAGATGACCATTTTTGGAGCAGTTAATCCCAAACCTTGCAATCGCTATCCCAAAACTAGACAGATGAGCGCGATTGACCTTATTTCGGCCATTCGAAGATGATAGAGGACGCAAATTGGCTGAATTATAGCCGATCGAAGGAGTGCTTGATGGTATTGGTTGATTCGATCGATGAGTCCCGAAAGAATGCTTTCACGGACAGGTTCTTATGACCGCTGAGCCCTCGGAATGCTTAAGATGAAGTCACTATGCTCACTTCGCAACTTCTATTGGGCAAATTACGGACCAGGCCTTGATTCTAGTCTTAAGTATGTAGTCATGACTTTGCCTAACCCTTCGGTGATTGTGCGTCACGAGGTCCAACTCCGGGCCAGATCGCACATGTCCAAGTCAGGAGCAGACGGCCGATACCACCAAAAAGACCCTCATACAGTCTTACCAATTTTGACGAGTCTACCGGCCACATCTGAAGACGCTGTAGTCAAGGCATTTCAACCCTCAATAACCAAATACTAACTCACGGTACAAACGGTCAGAACCCTCTAATCTATAGTAGTTTCCATTTTACGTTTCCATTACCCCAATATACCTATATCACCCAAAAATGTACCCTATAAACCCTATACGACCCCAAAATAATCCTATGAACATGATCTTCCCTTTTGACGCGGCATGGCGCTGGCTGCAACTCGGCTAGCTCTGTTTGCCTTTCCTCGCACGCCAGGTTGCAATAGTCATGTAGGAATTACAACGTAGGTCTACTTGCAAGGGGCTGTACTACGGATAGTACTAGGATTTGACAGATGGGGCAAGTTGAGCCTCTTGTGAGAGTTTAGAGGTCTGCGGAATGCTCCTACTGCACCTACTTGAGCGCTTCAAAGCCAGAGCGCCAGCTAACATGGAGTCTAGAATCAAAGGGGAGGTTTGTTGTCATTCCACGCAAAATTGCAACAGACGTCAGAGTTGCCCGTCTTGTAGACTGCATGAAGTCATGCCCTCTCCACCGCACAAACACTCAAGCTTGCACTGTTGATGCCTCTCCAAGGCACGGAACCCTCAAAGGAATAAATGGGCAGCCTGCAGGTGTGATAAGCAATAAGCATACCTATATGAGCTATAGTCTAAACTCCTAGCATCCCCCTTAGTAGTCCCTATAATAATCCCTTACATAATCCCCTATAGAACCCCCCTTTAAGGAGTTTAGACCAGTACCAACCCTAACCTCAGACCATCAAAGCTTGAAAGCCAAGGCTGTACTAGTACCACGGTGGTTGACACCAGGCTACGGGTTTATATTGGGACAGTGGCAAGGAACATGGAAACTACTACATTACAGTAGGGTTTAGGGTTTAGGGTTTGTGTTGGGATAGTGGAAAAGAAAATGGAAACTACTAAGGTATATAGAGTTTTTTGGGGGAGAATGGAAAAGCAAATGGAAAGTACTACAATGGGTTTAGGATTTAGGGCGTAATCGAAAATATTGGAAACCTGCAAGAACCACCATGGTATGTCAATAACATCGGGCACACCAACAGAAGTGAAAACGACTCATGCTGGAGCTAAGAGCAGAGACTTGCAACTCATAGTCACAAACAAGATTAAGAAGACCAAATGATGACCTTACAAATTAGTTTCCATTACCCTATATACCATAGTAGTTTCCATTTTCTTTTCCACTATCCCAATATAACCCCTAAACCCTAAACCCTACTATCATGTAGTACTCTTGACATGTAGGAAGGTAGGAGCTGAGTGTTTTTGAGGCGCCAGCTTCTTGTGTTTCCCTTTCGCCCCCTGCCAATACAGGGCTTCCGGTGCGCTGCTGGGTTTGGGGGGTTTTGGGGGGCGCTGGCTCGTCGAGGTTTAGGTCTTCGGGCAGTGTTTTTTTTGGGCGTCATTGGGTGTCAGGGTCTCATTCTCAGAACATCTCATGGTTTTGCGGATAGAACCACGGGTCAAATGCGGAGTACTAGCTTCAGCTGGACAGCCCATCTGTCATCCTGTTGGCATGGCACAATACCGGGCTTCCATCGTAGGAAACACATGTGTCGAGATTGGCGTTGCATCCTCCCTTCTCAGCCACGCACTGCGCTTCAAACCCCGTCTAGGCCCTTGAAACGCCTTCTATGCACGAATGCAGTTACTCTTCACCATCCTTGTAGTACACCTCTCGCAAACCTTGAGGAGAGTAGACCGCTGCAGCGAGCCGATAATCTTGGTCAATGTTCGATATACGCAGCTGAAGGCAATATTGTGCACCCAGCGTTCATGTCTGAAAATGCTGTTGGCCAAGCGCACCTTGGAGCCCTTGCCATCTTTTCCTTTTGACTTCCCTTTTCCCTTCAGACAGAGGATTCAAAGGTAGCCGCCCCCTTGCAAGGCGTTCTGGCTTGAGGGTGCAGAGCTCGGGGGTCTAGGATTTCTCAAGCCAACTTGATCATGAACTCTGCGCCCGCATACCCTTTGTCTCCCTCGCTGTCTGTCTCACAGTGATGACAATGTTTAAGTACCTCAGTAACTACAGACATGCATTCCAAGAAAGGGAGCCAAACAAGCTCCTGAACCTCCCAAGACCTTACATCCGGCTCAAAGTCAAAATCCTAAACCTCCAGCAAGCTGAGAAATGCTTTTCAGATTGACCCTAAAAGACACAACAAATGCTTGCATTTTCCTAAGAAAGGATAACACAGGCTTTGGGCTTCTCAGTCGAGGCAAGATCCTCAAGGAACCTTAGGACCGTGCCCCCATGGCACGTGAAAGCTCAACCCTGGCGAGCTTACCCTCCCCTCCTTGGCCGCATCTTTTCCCTTGCCTTTGTCCTTGCCTTTCTCCTTGCCTTTCCCCTTTCCTTTCTTGCCTTTACCATCCTTGCCTTGCCTGCGCAGGAAGGCACAGTAAAAAGGATCTTAAGTCGTGTTGGGGGCCTGAGCCCACACTTCATGGTCTGGGGTTGAGGCTGGAGGTGGTGGGAGCTTTCGGATGAAACCTCTTGCCTCAAGATGGTGAACTTTCATGTCCGAACTGCTGAGGCTTCATTTAACCTACCTACAACACTGAGGTCTAACACTTATGGGCTGCTTTCAGTGAGATGAGTTTTGCGTCAGCATGGGCACCTAGAGTTCGTAGAGGAAAACTTGGGCCAGCGTTGCGCCATCTCCGACGAGTTCTATTGCAAAGGCTGCCGGATGCTGCACGTGCAGTTTGAGTTGTCCGGTCTGCGTCTGAATTCTTTCATACTATGCATGTCTTGGCTGCCGAAGTGCAGCAGATCTCCAGCGTCGCTAAGTAAAATACCACGAAAGTCCGGGAATCCGAAGTAGCACGTGAGTGTGAATTAAGCGCTATAAAATGCTGTAACCACTTCTGTCGCCAACGGCAGAAACCAAGAGCAACAAATAGAACTTCTCGTCAAGGCAACATAAAGCTCCCCACGCCTTCAACGACTGGCACGTCGTGTTTTTAGATTTGGGATAACTTATACATCAACATATCTTCTCAAGCCATCGATAGGATAGTCCAAACACCGCGTGCTGGAAGAAATTAGCCATCATGCCTTCGGATAGCTGACCAAAATGAAATGATGGGATACCACCCCAACTAGATGCGAAGGCGTTCGTTGTATTCCAGCTCAAATACCAACCCTTGCTGCAGTCATAAGTATTCCTTATGAATGAATTGCTGTACCCATACCCATATCATATTTGACTTGCTGCTGGCATTGCAACCAGCTGATGCTCGAAATGCTAGCTGCCTTCCTTTGCCTTTGCCTCCACCACCTCAGCCGCCACTGTATGGAGAGCGAATCTTTAGTCATGGATTATTACGTGGAGCTTCTACGAGTCGACTTCTCCAAGTCGATTCTGCGAAGGACTTCTTAGGATATATTTGAAAACTCAGAAAATGTCATAGGGTTCAGGAATTCTATGCTGTACTACTGCGTTCTGATGATGATGATGCTGTTATTGCTAGCCGCTAGCAACATGCTGATACCAGCTAGGAATATGATTCTGTTACATGATGTTCACGGGGCTTTCACCTATCATGGCAATGACGGTTGATGAGGCGTCTAGGCCCCAAGAGGGAGAGCTGCTTCAGGGGTTCATGGGGAAGGTCTCTGCCTCTCGCACCTACACGCCATGTACCCGGTGTCAAGAGCCCACGTCCCTTCCTCTGAATTTATAATAGCTAAGAAGACGAGCATCACCGTAGAACTGGTAACATTCGAATCACAACATTGAATGGATGACGATTTTCCCGCCTCCACGGGTTGCAACCACCACGCAAACCAGCTAATCAACGTTCTCATTTGTAGCCGTAAAATGTGTAAATTAAGCGGTTGATGGGTGGAATGTGAACAAAGTTTGCTGGGTTTTACTTCTGGTTTGACAAAAAGCTCAAGCGAGGACACAGATGCTCAGAGCATCTACTGCTGTACCTGAACATCATGGCTAAGGACAGCGCGCAAAGATCTCATTGCGATAAAACTCAATTCTCTTTTTGAAGCCAGGACGTTCAGCCCGAAAGTCCCCACAAAGCCACCAAGCCCAAGACTCTAAATCCTCACAGAACAGAAGCCCTCAAAATTTCAAGCCTCCTGAACCTTTGGGTTCTTGGAGCCCTGACGCCGCAAACCTCATCACTGCATAGTCCCCCGTAAGTAGATAGAATATGGAATTGACCAATATTGTCATAAGATCCCAACGTACCCCGTATTCTATCTACTTAAGGGGGGCTATAACCCCAATATATATCCTATTATAATGTAGTAGTTTCCATTTTCTTCTCCACTATCCCTATATAACCCCAACAGACTAGTTTCCATCTTCTTTTCCATTATCCCCTATACAACCCCAACGCTAAACCCTAAACCCTTATATGATCCCTATATACTTAAGGGAATATATACTTAAGGGGGACTACAGCCTAAACCCTAAACCCTATATTCTATCTACTTAAGGGGGACTATTGACCTCAAAGAGAAGCAGGCTGACCTTGGCGAGGATCGCCCCCGCCTAGAGGATTCAGGGCTTCAAGCGGAATAGGGGGGGGGGGTGTCCTAGGGATTCAGGTTTAGGGTTGGGGCTTTAAGAATATTACCGCCCCAATAGTGGAAAATCAAACGGAAAAGAACATGGAAAATGAAAAGGAAACTGGGACTATAGGGTAGTTTATAGAGACTAGGGTTTCCGAAAATTAGGGGTAC